AATAGTGATCATGTATCAATATCAGCTTATAAATGATGGTCCCATGGGAGGGCCCTTTTGGGTTTGGCAAACATCTTCTTAAGAAATGGGGAAAAGGACACAATTGATTGAGAAGGGGATCTAGGAGGCAATCTCTCTTCAAAAGTCTAATTTGAGTTAATGGGATTGTTGATGAAAAAGGGCTTTGTTTGGTGCCCATTTATTTTAACTTATTTGTACTCATTCATTATTTTCCCACCCATTTGGGTTAATGAGTCATATTCGTTTTTTAAGAAGATTACATTATAAAATTTATAGCAGTAAAAATTCAAAAATTACATTGAAGATGTCTTTACCATTGTGATATACTCTGAGTTAGCAAATCACATAGTTATTAATATTAATTTAGAGTTTGTATGAGGAAATAGCTATTTAGAACCCACAAAAAATCATAGGAATTTCTAATCACTAGAATCAAATGTTAATATTATGGAGAATAATGATTGGGTAAAATAAAAAGTCATTTTAAAATATTAAAATTATTAAGACTTCACAATTTCATGCCCTACAAGATAGCTTCTAAAAATATATGGACATTTAATTTTTAAAACTTTGCTAATCTTTTTTAAGTATTTTAAAAAGTTAGAAAAACTATGCAAAGAAATGTCGGTAAAGAAGCATAATTATTTTAAAAATGAGAATCTAAAAACAAAATCATGATGAAATGCAACTTTAATTATTTATTCAATTATATAAATAATTACACTATTTTTTAAACTTAATTTTATCCACCAATTAATTAAAGCAAATTATAGACGAGAGAGAAATTTCTTCAAGCAAACACCCCTTTTTGCATTCCTTCTTGTTTTTGTTTTGTTTTCTTTTTCTTATATAAATATAAAAACAAATAAAAAGTTGAGAAGTCAACTTTCAAATTATTGATCCATTTTTTTCAACTTACGTGTCTACAAGGGCAACACACAAAAAACTTGTGAAGAGTAAAAATAATTTTGTTTAAATAAATTTTTAGGTTCTTTTTTCTTGGAGATGTAGATTTAATTAATTAAATTGGTAATTTAGGAGTAATTTTGTTATTTTTATGGCAACTATGGATAAATGATTCTGAAAAATCCAAAAAAAAAAACATTGAAAATTCTCATATGGATCATGGATCATTTGGTATGTATATATACATTTTAGATTAATGTATTGAAAATTCTCCGATCATTTGGTGTATATATATATATATATATTATTAGAATTTGTTAATAGAAAGTTATATAAGAGAGACCATAAATTTAATGTTAATAAAATGATAATAAATCAGTACAAGGTTTTCAAGAATGACCTTTCGATATAGTAAGATAATAGGTTAGTATTGATTATTGTCTCGGGCTAGGTTAACTAAACTTATTTTTAACAAATTAATCCTTAAATTACATAAAGACATATGATATTTCAATTAATAAAAACTTAAACGTATTATTACATTAAATATTCTCCAATATATAGTTGGATCTTTTTTTTAATACAACAGCTGAGAGTGGAAGATTCGAATTCACGACTTCTTGATCGAATATAGATGTTGATTATCATTGAACTAAGGTCATGTTGACGTATAGTTTGGTCTTGTTAAATTTATATATAGTCATATGCTCGATTGATATTTTGCAGCTAACAATCCCAAGAAAAGTTAATAATATCTTAATAATACAAGTTAAATAGTATTTTAAAAGTGGTCGAACAATACACATGTTAATTATTACCATTTTTTTTGTTTATTTTCCACCAATTACAATATTCTACTGAAATATTGAAAACAAAAAACGAAGTTTTGAAAATCATTGTGTTTTTAAACTTTGATCAATATTTTAAATATTTCCTTTAAAAAATAGATTATTTAAATGTTATTTGAAAAATAATAGGAACAAAATAATTATCAAGTCACTAACTTTTAAACTATTTTATATGCAATAATTATTTTTCATTTCTATAATCATATTGCTAAAAAATAAATTGATTTGTAGAATAGCTCGCTCAAATCTTAATGAACTTATTGGTATAAAATAATAAAGAAAATTTTTAAAATTGAATTATAATTCTGAAGAGTTGACCTAGAAGTTGGAGTAGCAGTACTAATAATTAAAAGTTCTTTCTTTTTTTAAAAAGATAATTAAAAAAGTTGTTTTACTAATAAAATTATATTACAATTTTAGTTACTCTCTAGAAACTACAACTAAATTGTCTCACCAGGCAGTAGGATTGGCAAAGACTTGGAGTCTCTTAGTTGGAGTTTACAGATTATATTGACTCAGAAATCTCAAATTTGAACGTTCTAACAAGTTTAAAACCAAAATCTATTATGTCTCCGGGGTTGGAGCCTTGGGATGGGTGTAGATGTCCTTGGATATAGGAAAGCTTAGCTTAGCATAACTTACTTATTTTCGATTAAGAGGTGGTGAGTTGCACAAATAGTGGGACCGTTCGGATCTATTATTCGACTTATGACGTATGAGTGGCAATTTGACAAGTTGAATACTCGGACATCCAACTTTCAGCACAACCCCTCCTTATTGATTAAGAGGCGGTGAGTTCGAATCCTCCACGTAGCATGCTCAACCGCGACGGCCGCCGTCTAATCCACGCGCCAGAAACTTCCACAATGTGAACTCAATCCATTAATGGAGGGGGTTTTAAAAATCTTCCCCCAAATTCCAATCACCGGGCCTACATTGAGACCCGCACTTGAACCTTTTTTTCTATTCAAAAGAAAAAACGTCCCACTTTCAGTGTCTTCCCAAACCTTTAGCCCTCGATCTCAATTAGAAGCTTTGAAGAGAGAATGCAGGAGCTTGATGGGCCATCAATCGCCTCTGCAACTCTGGAAGCTTGAAAGGAACAAACTGGTTCCAGGTTGCTCTTTAAATCTCCCTTTTCGTTTCCAATTTTCTTAGATGTTGTGAATTGAATTCTAACATTTTCCATAGCTTTTTGTAAAATCTGATTTTAGGGAAAACTTCGTGGGGTTTAGAAGCAAGCCAAAAGAAACGAACCCAGTTCGAGCTTTTTCTTTGATTTCACCTCTTTTTTCTTTTGGTAATTCTGTTACTTGGTTATCTTCTTTGGGTTCTCAATTTTGATCTTGATGGTGAACTTCGTGGACCCGATCTGGGACTTTTGTGTTTTTCTTTTTCCTGCTTTCGCTGCTTACACTTTCTTGGATTCCGGTTGTACTAGTTCCAGTGTTGAAAAATGGGTTGCTTTATTTGACTGTATATTGCTGTGCTTCTTATTTTTGACACAGAATTTTTGCAATTCGCTCATAGTTTCTAAGTGGTTTAGCTTCTGTATTTTGAGGATCTTTCTGTATGCATAGATTGTGACTCGGGGTCTTCATCAGTGTGGTTCTGTGAGTTCCTGTTTTAGTCGCTTTGTTCATTTTCTTCATGTAACTTTCTTGACAGTATCTATATCTTTATCCTGAACTAGGGTTCTGATTTGAAGGTTCTATTTCATTGTTTTTGTTTATTCTGCTTTTTGTAATTGAAAATTTGCTTTAGATCAAATTGCTTTGTTGTCCAATTAGGTTGGTATAATTTTCAGTTTTGGTTTACTGCTTGGCACATTTGAGATTTAGTCCTTGAGACGCTCTTATAGAAGCTTCATTTTCTTTCCCCAGAGCTTGTTTTTTATTTCGGAGTTTGTAAATTTGATGTTATAATTATGACTTAGATCATACTGTTGCAATTTTTTGGTTTCCAGATACGGAACCATCTTTGGTTGAACTTGATATATGAATCAGTGTGAAAACTGAAACAGCTCGTTTAATGTCTTTATCTGATTTTATGAGATTTTCGGTCAACTTTGTAATGTTCTCAGGTTTGTACTCTCAATCGTATCGTGGACTCTCCTCGATCTGTTGTTTCCCCATTGAAGAACTCTCCAATTTCTGAGCCTGAGAAGCAGAAATCCAATTTCTTTGCTCCGAGCTCTGGTCCGAAGGGAGTTGAGGTGAACCGAAAAGAAGTTGCCATGTATAACTCAGAGGAAACCATTGGTGCACTTGATGTATGCATTCATCAGGCTAGAGATATTCACAATATCTGCATTTACCATAAGCAGGATGTTTATGCCAAGCTTTGTCTAACTACTGATCCTGAAGATTCTCTCTCCACCAAAATCATTAATGGAGGTGGGAGGAACCCAGTCTTCAACGAGAATCTTCATTTCAATGTTCGGAGTGTCGATGCCTCGCTTAAATGTGAGATATGGATGTTGAGCAGAGTGAGGAATTATCTGGAAGACCAGTTACTGGGGTTTGCCTTGGTGCCATTGTCTGAAGTTCTCGTTAGCAATGGAAAACTGGAGAAAGAGTTTTCTCTATCTTCTACGGATTTGTTCCATTCCCCAGCAGGGTTTGTTCAATTATCTCTGGCATACAACGGAACCTCGCCCGATGTGATGGCTGTTCCTAGAACTGCCTTGGAATCATCAGATGCAACTTTGAAGGATTCTGAAATATCCGAGTCACTAGCTAGTGATTTGGATAAGATTGAGTTTCCAGATCCTAAGATTGTAAATGAAGACCAGATGATGGTTTCTGAGTATTTCAGCATCCCGTGCTCTAATCCAGAGTCCGAAGACTCGGAGAGCCTAGCCACTTCTGGTAATGAGGATTGTCCAAGTTCGGAAATTGGTGCACATAATGCAGAAAGCTTCTCAACTGCTTCTGTCGAATCCGTCCAGCTTCCGAAGATTGATTCTCCACCCAGCAGCGTATCAACTAATGGAGTATCCTCACCTTCTGCTCCAGCAAGCTCAGAGTCGTCCGATGCTTCAGAAGCTTCAAAGCCTCTAACACATGTTCCGACTGGAAAGGAGAAGCGTGTGGATGTTAAGAATGGCGAGACTGATTCCTCCATTGAGGTACCAAGTGATTCAATCTCAAAGCCTGTAATCAGTGTGAACATAGAGCCAGAACAGAATGTAGTGCAGCAGGACATTGTTGACATGTATATGAAAAGCATGCAGCAATTTACCGAGTCGTTGGCGAAAATGAAACTTCCTCTGGACATCGATAACGGACCAACCAGTTCAGGAAATTCAAGCTCTGATCAGAAAACACCGACGTCAAAGAATGGTAATTCACGAGTGTTCTATGGAAGCAGCGCTTTCTTTTAAACTATTGTTTCTGCATTTTCAACGACGACACACCGATAACTTTAGAACTATAGGATGAATACTACTATCAGTAGTGAAATGTAATAATGTATGTCTGTAGAGTGGTGTTTTCCTTTGTATGTTGGTTTGTTTGGTACGGAGGTAAATCATGGCTTCTTACACCATACAAACTTTGTTCAATCACAGTTGGTGTAAGCATGAATGAATTATTATCCCTCTTTGTAACAACAATTAACTTTAGAATGCAACTTCTAATTATGTGAAATCAAAATCATCAGTCATGTGTTGGTCCCACATTTAAATTATGTTTGCTTGGAGGAATGATTTGGATAGACTAGTGTACTGATGACTTGATTATCGGTCGATTTAGATCACGTGGTCTGAGAAGTTTCAGGTTATTTATATGCTTTGTACCATATATACTGTATCAGTTGTTCTGCAACCTAAAATAGATTTCATGTACTCTGAAGGTTATGTGTCTTCTGCAGGTTCATGCAACGTGACCGTCATCTCGGTTTGTCACTCTCCACAGCTCGAACTTCTCATTAATGTCTTTTTCGATTGAACATCTCAGTTCCCTCGAGTAATCCACAACCCAGTGTTGTGCTATTCTGAGATCTTGGTGAAGGTTCCACTCTGCTTCTTCCCCTGCTTGCTTCTACGCGTCTCATAGCTGCTGCAGCCCCATGAAAAAGAGACGACTCAGCTAGATGTGTGACCTCCCGACTCAAATTCGGGATTGTGTGCCCCATTCTTATTGCTACCTGGGCTCCTATTCATGAACTTTGTCATATAAGGAGCTATAGACCTTACTGCCATATTGTCAATCTGCATTACTTCACAGCCTATTTGATCTTCAACAAAATGCATTTCCCTTTGGAACTCGCATAACATGTGCAGTCAGAGGGAGTACAGATTAGTAATCAACCTTCTTGAGGAGTTCTCTGTTCCAACAAAATAGAACATGTTGGGTACTCTCCTCTCTTCGCTTTCGATTAAGCTCGAGTAGGAGTCTGTGCTCATAATATCTTAGACCTTTTCAAACTCCTTTGAAAAAGGTGCTCGTACCATCGATGATTTAGTTTTTACTAGGAAAAATCTTATCAAAATTAAATGTCAATTTTTTCCTATAACGGTTCAGTCTTTTTATTTATAAGCACATTTATTCACGCAATAGTTTTATCTATCTACAATTGTAAGAATTTTATAAAATCTTAACAAAAATTTTCGAATTTAGACTTTCTAGTTCTATGTATATCTACAGAGGGGTTCACACCCAAACAAAGAGAGTGAAAAAGGAAGAAAATTTTCCTTCCATTCTCCAGCGACGAGGAGATCCGACCTGTGACATCATATACGACGGCGTTGGGTAAGCGATTTTGAGATTTTGAAATATATTTGTGAGCATTCAAATTATATATATATATATATATAGACACACACGTGTATATATATGTGTATGTATACGTGTATATACATATGTATGTATGTGTGTATATATGGATTTGTGCATTGTACATATTCCGTCGGGTTATTTACTTTTGTACAGTAACCATTCTCAATTCAATCAATAGAAGTCTTCCGTACTGTTTGAATGGAATTCTCAATTTTGTTTCTACTTTAGTCAAGAAAGACCTCAGGAACAAATCTCATTTTCTCTAGACAAGGTTCAATATTTTCTCACTTATCAAGGTTGCTTTCATTTTTCTCAAATTTATAACTAACTAGACTCAAATTTATAACTAACTAGACTCAGTTTGGGAACGTTTGTTTGCATTTTTTAACTAAATTTTTTTTGGGAAACATTCTTAAAATTGGATAGAATTTTTAAAAACAACCAAAAATAAGTTTCTACTTTTTTTAAAAGAAGCAAAAATAAGACAAAAACATTGTTGGGTAAAGGTGGACTTACAAGATCAAATACAAGTAAGATGGTTTTTTATATAGAGGTACAAACTGTAGCAAATTTTCTCACGAGTAAGAAAGCTCGCCTGCTTGCTCAAGGCTATGAAAAAGAGTATGGTCTTTATTATGCCGACACGTCACCTTCAATCTAGTTGCTTTTCTTGTAAACAACTTGCGTATAATTCATGAATATTGGGTAAATAAGAAACATGAACCATGGACATTACCAGACGAGCCTTTGCTTTTTGCTTTCAATTTTAACTAAATTATTTGGTTGGAACACTTGTAAGCTAGCTTTGTACTTCGAAATGACGAATGTAAACTCAATTTTCTTACTAATCAGTAATCAATCACTCCTAAGATTTTGATTTCAGATTTTATAATGACGAATTAATTGAATGAACAAACCAAACACAAACACCACTAGAGTTGAAGCTACCGAATCCAATTTATTGGGTTGGGCCGAATGTGTAATATCCAAGCCCATAATACAGTCCAGTAATTACATGCCTCGGCCCAACCCAATAACAACAATCAAACAAAACTTGATCACATTTCTTTTATTTTAAACCTTTTTAGGGCAACAAATATGAATATTTCAAATAGATGGCCAGACAACTTCCAATTTTGAACTTCCATTTTTTTTATTTTATACGAGAATCTCAACTATATTTTTCTCCACCCCATATATGGGATAATTATAATATTTTTCCAACTCATTTTTTACGAGATTTAGACCTCAAAAGATAATAGACAAACAATATTCGTTAATTTAAAATCTAAATAAAATTTAAGCAATAAAATAATTATTGAAATCTAGCAAAAACTTGAAAGAATATATAATACAAAATATAATTATAAATAGAAATACTAATAATTAAACTTATGAACAAATACGATGTATTTTTGTTTTGATAGTGTTGATACAAAATAAACAAATGCGATGTGTTTTTTATGTACTTTAGAGGAAGAAATTCAAAGCATATACCTATTCAGCGTAACAAAAAGACATAGAAGATAGAAAATTAACTTTTTGAACCATATTGAACCATATTAATAATACATTAAAAAAATTAGGTAAATTAAACCAGTTTTACTTGCCGTCCCTCCTCAAGTCTCTGTCTCCTCCTACATTTGTCTTCAGAACGCCGATATCGCTTCGCCAATTTCACTTGTCGCCCGCCGACAATCCCTTCGTGACATCTCCCCCTGCCACTAGCTGTCTTGATTAATCTAGAGTAGATTAATATTTTATTTTAAATATAATAAAAAAATAGTAAGGGTAAAACGGCCAAAATCAAACCTGTGAAATAATTGAAACAATACAAATGGACATTTTTAATAACAAAAAACTATTTACCCATTTTTCAAAACGGGGTGACAAATATGGACACCTACTATAAATTCTCAATTTTTGTATGCTTATGCTAGAAAAATATATTTCTTCTTCACATCTCACACTCCTACCAAAACCCAACGTAAAAATTTTCCAAAATCACTATAAAAAATAGTGTTGAAAGAATAATAAATAAATACTTGTTGGGACATCTCAATTTTATAGAAATACAAATAAAAAGATTAATAGAATCTCAATGTTAAAATTCAAACAAATTAATAAATAAATATTTTCAATATTTTAATAAGTTAGAAATTGTTATGGTTGTTGATTTTTTTTTTTGAAAGAAAGAAATTGTTATGGTTAGTATATACATTAGTGACGTTTCTTTACTATTTCGTTAGTGACGTAAAGAAATGAAATCTATTAATCTTTTTATTCCCCTAAAGTAAACATGGCCTATGGTAAATGAAATCTAAATTAAGTCGAATTCGTAATTAGAGTTAGAATCGATGGACTCTCTCAGTTAAGTCAAATTGCAGGTGAATTAAGGTAAATAGACGCTCAATTAAGTCGGATTCACAATTGGAGTTAAATCGTCGATGAAGGTAAATGAACTCCCAATTCAGTCGGATTCAAGGTAATGTAATGTGACACAAATTACTTCCATTTTAATTGCATGCACTACTTCTACTTCTATATGATCTGAGTCAAATTATATGCAATGTGTTATGTTCATAATGATTTTTAAATAATTTATATTGTTTGGTTGGAAAAGAAAATGAAGGAATATGAATTCACATGAGATTTGAAATTACGTTTTTTTCCAAAAATTTTCCTTTCCAAATTTGTCCAATTTGGAAGGATTTGAAATTAAATGCAAGATGTTCCTAATTTACCTTAAAATAGATATTTCATTTTTAAAAAAATTTATTCACATCACTCATCTTACACCCATATAGTTATTTTCTGAAATTTTTTCTACACAAATTGTCAAGCATACTACAATTATTTTCTCTTTTGAGCCTTTCTACATACATCTTTTTGGATCATTCCATCAAAATTCAAGTTGGTTTCCTATTTTGTTTCGTGGCTTCGATCAATTTTCTTTTCTGTTAGTTTTTATAACATCAATTTGAGTCAAAAGAATCTTCGTTCTAAATAGGATGGATTTACAAAGAGATCAATAGGTTAATACACTTAAAATTTATGTTTCGTTTTTCCTAACTATCTTTGTTTATATATATATATATATATATATATATATATATATATATGTCTATTGCATGTTCTTGTGTTTTAGTATACATTCGTTACGTTCATTAATTTTCTTTTTAAATAAGGAAGTATGAGCACAAAAAAGAAAAAAAATAAATGAAAAATATGAGGGAAATTTAGTTTGCGGTTTAAGTTTTGGTAGTTATATTTTAGATTTAGAAATATATATTTGAATAGAAATATTTATACAATGTTTTTTTTATTTCATTGAAAGTTGTAATTTATTAAGTAAATTTGATTAAGTGACTACGTTTTTATATGTAACCTTACTATTTCATATTAAAATACTATATTATTATTACTAATAATATAATATTATACAAATTACAAGAGCATAATAGTGAACATCCAAAAAAAATTTTAATTTCAATGATGTTGAATCAATTTGGTTCCAAACATAATTAGGAATTTGAAATCACTTCGAGAGAAGTTTTAGAGAAGGTGGTCAAATGTTAACACTCCTTTAGTATCGGGAAACACATAAAAATATTAATTTCTAAGGAAATTGGTCGTCATGAAATTTACACACATTCCCTCTCAATTCATCCTAATCCCTTTGGACCAATGAGTCATTCCTAATGGTTAACTATCAACATTTTAAAAGTTGTATAAAATGAAAATCTTGAGATTTCGAGAGTGGTTTTAGAAAGAGAAAAATATATTACATAAATACTATTAGCTTTACGAGCTTCAATCACACCAAATGTTTTGATGATAACAAACTTTATTTACCGATGATTTTAGTATTTCAAAGTGTTCATAGTGCAGGGCTTGGAAAGACGAATTCAACGCATTTTGAAATCAGAGTTTAAACGAATAAATTATAGTCAAAACAAGTTGGGGAATAAAAAGCACATGTGGCAGGTGACGTAACATCTAACAGTCAAATTATGCCACTGTGGCAATGATGTGGCAGTAACGTGGCATCAATAAATTTGGTGATGTGGTGGATGACATGGATAGATCATGTGATGACCCCACAATTCTCTCAATTCCACAATCTTGTCTCAATTTCACGTAATTTGTCCAAATCTCCATAATTCTCTTCATTCTTTTCTTTATCTCGACTTTTGATCTCCATCATCCATCCTTTGTTGCCCTAAATACAACGGCCAAATTTCATCTTCAAAACTCTATTCAAAGTCATCAAATTTCATCATTATTCACACCAATTATCAAAGCAAACATCTTTCTCCCTTCAAGTTATTGTGCTCTCATTTTCATTCTCCTCACACAAAAAGTAGTCCATATTTTTTTGTGTGATTAGAGTGTAGCTTTTTAGCTATTGTTTCAGTGTGGAATTTGTAAATCTACCTAGGTATTTTATTTGTATTTACCTATTTCACATTTTGGGTTTTGTATTAAGGTGTGAGTATACCTGGTCGTGAGAAAACATTGGTTAGATTCTAAACTAGTTAAAATGATCGTGGGTTTCTTTTTAGCTAGGACAAAGAGAAGGTCGATCGGTTTGGTTCTCACCCGCAAGAGAGCGGTTGCAGTAAAATACCGAGAAGGAATCTTGGAGGGTGGAGTAGGGACTTCCGAACCATGGTGTCATCTCTCTACACTTTAATTTGTTCATTTAAATTTCGCTTGATTTTTAATTATTCTTAAAACAATTTTTTTAAATCTACAAGTTCGTAAACAATCCTATTCACCACGGTAGTGTTGTCATATCGATCCTACAAATACTTGGTAAATAAGATTAATCTATAAAAACAAAATTATTAAAAGACTAAATATAGTTCGTTATCTCTGTTATAACAACTCTAAATGTTAAGTGTGTTTGGCTCCACCTGGACCTAGAGCATTACAATTAAATATCGAAATAGTATTTTAATTATTTTTCTAAAGAAATACAAAAAAATACCCGAGAAAAATATATATTTAATATTTAAAATAAAATAGAGAATGTTTGGCGTGTCCATATGATATGTTGAGCACCAAACACGTGTGCTGAACTGTTTTCATCTCTTCACACGTGTCAGTCACAATTTTCCCTAACCACTCTGTTCCACTGCGCGGCAAATCTCTCACTCTCGCTCTCACCGATCGTCACCTTCTTCGTTCCATGTTAACGCCTTCCGGACCTCGCCGGAGATTTGAATCGACGGAGACAAATGGGAGTTCTCCAGACTCTGCAAAACATCGGCAGCGACCACGCCCAGGTTGTCCCCTTGACGCTGTTCGTCGCTGTTCTCTGTTTGTGTTTGGTCATTGGCCACTTGCTCGAAGAAAATCGATGGGTCAATGAATCCATCACCGCCATTATCATTGTATACTCTCTTCTGCTTCTCTATATCTCCTCGTATTTGGCTTCATCATCGATTCTTCTGTCGTTTGCTCTCATTTTTTTCCAACTCTTGAAGAAAACAGAGTATACCCACTTGCTTGATTGTGCTGGATATGACTTCATAATCTTTACTTTGTCTGAAAGGTTATACATGCCACGATAGATGATTGAGTGATTTGTACATGCGTGTTGTGGGCCTTATGAGTGAAACCAATATCAAAGTGATGTGGGAATTGTCCTAACAAGTTTAATATATGGAAATAGATGTTTTTATGCCTCTTAATAGCACTGTGTAGGTTTTATAGTGCATGAACTTCTATGTCACGTCTCCATATCTTCATAATATCGTAGTACCATATTGTCTATCTTGGGATAATTAAATCTTGTCTTTGGTCTAAGCCCGTATGGTTTTACATTTCAGCCTCCTATCAATGGAGATCAGGATGTTGATATTACAATAGCCTCCTACCTTTACTATTCTATTAATATCCTTAATTACTCACAAGCATTCCTGTCGGAATATTGACGACGGGATTTCTCTTCTGCTTCCATAGTTGTGATTATACAACGATGGTGATTGTTTTCTTATTCTAAGTTTTCTGTTTAAACAGGGAGGTATTACTGGATTGATCATATTGTTCAGTAGCGAGGGGAAAAATTCTCATATTCTAACTTTTAATGAAGAAGTGTTCTTCATATATCTCCTTCCGCCAATAATTTTCAATGCTGGGTTCGTACAGGTTTCTGGTCGTACCTTTTTATACTTCATGTGTGCTTAACGAATGTTTCACTCGCTTATCTTCATGTCTGCAGATTTCAGGTGAAAAAGAAGCAGTTCTTCCATAACTTCTTGACCATTATGCTATTTGGGGTTGTTGGTGTTTTTATATCTGCACTCATCATAACGGCTGGTATGAGCCAAATCTTAATTCAATAGTGTAATGTTGGGTCACTATAAAAAAATTTGATTTACGTGAAATGATCCTTTGTGCATTGATTAGGCAGTCGGTGGCTGTTTCCCAGGATTGGCTTTCATGGTCTGTCGGTGCGGGACTATGTTGGTGAGACTGAATTTTGAAAAGCTAATTAATAGCCGTATGCAATTGATGCCAATTAGACCAATGCAGTTACAGGGTAGTTGAATGAAGATTTTTCTTTTCTTGATTCAGCTGTAGGTGCTATTTTTTCATCCACGGATACAGTATGCACCCTGCAGGTTAGCTTTCTCTGCAACCATTCTCTTTCTCATAATCACCAGTATCAAATTCCATGACCTACGGTTGCACTCTCATGTTTTATTTCCGTGGAATTTTCTATTACTGATGGTACTTCATTCAGGTACTACATCAAGAGGAAACACCTTTACTATACAGCCTAGTCTTTGGGGAAGGAGTGGTGAATGATGCAACATCAGTTGTCCTCTTCAATGCAGTTCAGAAGATCGATATCACTAGGCTTAACAACAAGACAGCCCTTCATCTTTTTGGAGACTTTTGTTACTTATTTTCAACTAGCACTGTCCTTGGAGTGACGGTAAGCTTGAACTTGACTTCATAAAGTGTTACCGATATAGCTAATGTCCATGTGCTAGTCTAGATGCAATTTGTATACTTATGCTTCTGGTTGTATTGCAAAAACTCCTGAATTTTTGGGAGATTGAGGGATTAATTTTTTATGCATTAATTTGGTGTTCTCTTATTTTTTCTATTTTGATGCTCCATTTTTGGATATTTCTAACAAATTAAAGAACTTGTTTTGATTGAAAAATTGGTAGTTTCAGAATTAATGTTTCGTGGTTCCGGTATGAAACTGCTACTGATAGACAAGCTTGATAACTTTCACCTTGCTAAAGAAAAAGATGCTAGGACTGGGACGTGCAATAAATCTTGGTCTTTCTCATCTAAATTCTTGTTCTTCAATTTATCCCTAGGCAAGGCCGCTCTTCCTTCTTTATGCTTTCATTTGGAATATTAAATCCCTGATTTTATGTGGAATCTTCTGCTGAGGGGTCTCAATGCATAAGACAGGTTTTGGCCAGGAAACCTAATGTTTCTTTCTCTCCAACTGGGTGCAGAAACCGCTAACCACTTCTTCCTTGCTGGAGTTAAGTTGCTCTGTGCCTTTGGTTTGTCTACGGTTTTCCCTAGATCTCTCTAAGGATTTCCTTTCCTATGTTTTCTGGTCACCACCACCTTACAAAGTAGACCAAGTATTCCGTGACTAAACACTACCAGATAGATTATTTGAGAGATTTTTTTGAGAGGAATAAAGGGATCTTTACCAATTCTCTACTCTTCTTGTGCCTCTTACCAGTATAAACTTGATCAAGCCAGGCCAATTTAATATTTGATCCAGCCAGCTCTAAGGAACAGGTTCCTTATTCAATTATAGCCAATTTCGTCTTCTTCTTATGGATTAAAAGAGAGCTCTATCTATCTGAAGAAGGCACGGACCCCTCACATCTTACTGTTTGCAAGCTCACCCTGAAAGCAAGTTGGATCAATCTCTCTTCTAGCCTTCTATTTTACACTTGTTCAACGGAAATTCGTCTGTTATTGAAAAAAAAGGGTGATGTAAAATGCACCTTGCCTAATGCAGTGTAAAAGAGTTATTTTCAAATGATATAGTTTTAAATCTCAACCACTATGGGTTAGCCTAGTAGTAAAAAGGGTTGGGGAAGGGATTTTAGACTTTGGGGACCACAAGGGTTCAAACCCCACCTGCCTAGGATAAAGATGATGGCGTTTCTCGATAGCTTGATGTTGTAGGTCCTTTGATCTATCCCATGAGAATAATCAAGGTTCGTGGAAGGTGGTCCAGAATTCAGATATTGATTATCATAATAAAACATAAAAGAAATGGACAGATAAATTTTGATGCATATGGCTAGCACTAACCCTTTAGTTTCTGTTCGGCTATAATTAAATTATGTTTGGAAAATGTTTCCATTCAATAATTTTCATCTAGTAGAATAATTACATTGCTTTCGTTTACTTCTTCTGCAGACTGGGCTTCTTACAGCATTTATTCTCAAATCCTTATACTTCGGGAGGTTAGTACTGGTTTGTATCTTAACATACCAATTGTGACACATTGTCAAAGTAGGACTAGGCAGCCCAATCTGAGTGTAAATCCGAACCCGTATATGCTTACAGACATTCAAGTGTGCGTGAGCTTGCAATAATGGTTTTAATGGCTTACCTGTCGTACATGCTAGCAGAGGTAAATATGTTTACATGGTTTTAATTGGCAAATGAATTTTTATTTTAGATCCAGATTTTACTGAAGCTAGTATCCGCAGATAAACCCAGCTTACCTTCCTTTGGTTTTGGCATTATCACTGTTTAAAGAATCTCTTTCTCGCAGCTTCAGAGTATTCCTCTATAAAAATTTTCAAATCTATGGACAATTAAACATAATTTTCAAAGTTTCTCTTTGATCTTTGCTTTCTTCATGTGGTTGAGGATAGTTGCAGTTCAGAAATAGTGATACATGCTGCACTGGATCTATGTGTTTATCATAATATTTCCTTCAAAAACACATGATTTATGGTGTTATGCTAAAAAATGTACTACTTAGTCACAGAATGTTATAAATAACAACCTCTAGTTAGGCAATGGCTTGATATATGAATGAAAAATTGATAGGAACCAGAAACTGAAAGGTAATTTTACAGAAAGTAGTATTGAAGTAAGAAAGGAAAATTATAATATCCGAAACTCGTAGTGGTCTGGACTCTCCTAAAACTACTCCAAAATTCTGCCTGCCTCCCTTTCACCCAATTGCATTTATAACTGCTTTGCTAAGCACTTTTTAGCTAATATGCGCTTCTTAATATTTCCAATTAATATTCTTGTATATCCTATTATCTAATCATTAGATGGAAAATATTTAGGTCCTAACCGGCGAGCGCTACTATCAAATGTTTGACAACTAAGGAAGTGAAATGCAAAAACAGATAATTTTTTTAAAAAAAATAATTAACGGTCAATTTTTAACAGTGGTTAGAGATAGGTCATCACAAGTAGCACTCAACTGTAAGGTCATAGTTGATTTTCCATTTTTGCAAATGATGTAATTTGCTTTAATTATTGGTTAGAAAAATTAAAATCATTATTGTGGTTCAGCTTTTGTTTCATTTTACAGCTACTGGAGTTGAGCGGAATTCTCACAGTTTTCTTTTGTGGGATTATCATGTCGCACTATGCATATTATAACGTTACTGATAGTTCAAGAATTACCACCAGGCAAGTATCGACAGATCCTCAAGCTGCATGCTGAAGGTAACAATTTCTATGTTCCAATGGTTTTTGTAATCATCCTTATGACTTTTTTACGCCAGGCATGTATTTGCAATGATGTCATTTGTTGCCGAAACTGCAATATTTCTTTATGTGGGCATGGATGCTCTTGACATTGAAAAGTGGAAGATCACTAAATTAAGGTGCCAATTCACCGTGCTTTCTTATTTATATTCCATGAAGCTGTCTTGTAAGTCTTAAAAGGATAATTTGGATTGCAAATGTTCTCATGATGGTGGCCATTTCTCTCAATTTTTACATTTTCTTTTTACTGTGTTATAACTTCTAAGGTCTCTTTTTGGCCAATGACCTAACATTAAAAAATGGAATAATGGATACTCACCCTTCTCTTCTTATCATCTCTTAAGCTTTTTGTGTAATTCACCCCTAGTGAGATAAGACAATAGACCTAATGTAAGGAAAAAGACAAAGGAGGTTAATGGGCAAAATTATAGAGACCAGTAGACAGAAAGGATTACTTTACTTTGATCACTCTTATTAGCTATTTACTTGTATCTTTATTTCCCCCCTTTAAACGTGCATGCTTGGAATGATCAGAATGAGATTCAGTTGGAAGATCAAGCCTTAATTTTTTTTCTTTATGAAAACAAAGGTAGAAATTGGAGTGCCAAGTCAACACGATCAGGGATATTTGAAAATTTTTAAAATGAGGATCAAATTTACATTGATGTATTGTTTGTTGAAAAATTGTTACAATCTGCAAGTGCCACGTGTCTCTTTAAAGAGACTTTAAATGGAGCTAGCTTGGGAACTTAAAATAATTGAAAACTTTAAAAGTATACTTAAAACTTATGACGCCTTGAGGACAAATTCAAATCTTATATATGATTTAGAGATAAAAAGTAAAAACCATAATTGAGCTTTCTTTTGTTTTATTAACACACCTACCTTACTTGGGGCTAGAAAGTTAGATTTCGTTACCTTCACTTTTTGAACTAAAAAACACCTAATAAATAGTTTGATTTGAGAACCATTATGGTGTGGCCCTAGTGGTCAATAAGGGTCAATGAAAATAGTAGAGAGAATGAGTTCAAAACAATGATGACCACCTACCTAGGATTTAATATCCTAATAATTACCTTTGCCAAAATGTTGTAGGGTTGGGCGGTTGTCTCATGAGATTAATCAAAGTGTGTGCAAACACTCACGGATATCAAAAAGGAAAGCTAATAATAAAAGTTATAGTTATTGATCATAAACAGTAAAAAATATTATTCAATTGAACTTGGGTCTTTATTTTCTTTCCCTTAAAATAACCTTTTGTTATGATGAAAAGACGGATAAAATGAAATGAGAAAGGTAACATTTTTGGACAATTGGAATTCGTGTTTATTGGGTTTTGGAGTGTCAATGGCTCCCACATGGAAGTACTTTGCATGCCTAGGCTTCAAGTTTCTACTTTCTAGGCTTCAAGGGTCACATGTTCCCATTCCCATGTTAAATAACTCTCCAACTGCGTGTACCATAATGATGGTGTTTTCCTAAAATCAAATGGTAAGTGGAGAAAACTTCCCTTGCTATCTAACCACTCAATATGCTTATTATTATTTTTTTTTTATATAAGAAACAGAGAGAATATGTATTAATCACAAAAGAGAACAGCCTAAGGGGTAGAGAAAACCCCTCCCCAAAAAGGAGCTAAGACATGAAAGCCTTCCAATTGTGAGGGATAGACAAAGGGAGTGGTTACAAAAAGTTTTGCTGAAACTATATCACCACCTAGAACCACTCAATATGCTTATGGACATCTGTTATTACACAAAACAACATTGTGAAAGATATGCTTAAAAAGTATTTCTTGTTCTTAAACCTGGAGTAGGGTAAAAATCCACATCAGCTATGGGGGCACGTGCCGAACAAGTTCAGGGTTAGATTTGTTTTTTGAAGATTAAATCTTAAATATACCGTAATTGCCACAGGTAGTAATCCAATATATGCAAATTGTACAAAAAAGACAAATTAACACTCTTGTTCCATTAACATACGCAATGCGTTAGGGGACTTTCATATATTCATAGTGTGTAGAATTCCCGATTTTTGAAAAATGACGGGTACCTATCTAACTATCTTGACAGTGTTACCTGTTTGATTATGTGGCAATGTTAGAATATGTCACTTGTTCCTAATATCTTTCTTTTTCCCTAAAAAATTTTGGCAGTTTGTGGAAGCTACTTGGTACGTACAGCACTATAATCTTCTTGATATTGCTTGGTCGTGTGGCCTTTGTATTTCCCCTATCTGCTATATCCAATTACTGCAATAAGCGTGAGGATAGATCATCGTCTTCTACGATCACGTTCAGACAACAGGTCAGTGTCTTCTTGTGAGTGCCACAACCTTTTAAGCATGGAATCGTGAGAACTACACCAATATTGCTGATCTATGAACTGGTGAAATTGTACAGATCATAATATGGTGGGCTGGACTAATGAGAGGTGCTGTTTCCATTGCTCTGGCTTTCAAACAGGTGAGCCTTGATTTCTAATTAGAGCTGTTCATGGATATCAAATAATACCTGGGGAATATCATTTTCTGATATATGAGGCACCGGAAATGCTTATGTATTTTGAAGTTCACATATTCTGGGGTTACGTTGGATCCGACACATGCAGCGATGATTACCAACACTACGGTTGTTGTACTCTTCACTACGGTGGTACGAACATGTTCAATCTTCTTAATGTGTATTTTCTAATTATTCTTTGGTTCATAATTTGTACTTGTTTTACAAAGACCTACTTAGGAAGAGTAGCAATGTCGTGAATTGCCTATACCCTCAATACATTTTTTGTTATCAAATTCAGGTATTTGGATTTCTAACAAAGCCACTCATAAGATGTCTGCTTCCCCACAACCAAGAAACTAACCGTGCAAGCAATTCCGGACCGAAGTTCACAGAAGAGGATATAACTCTCCCTTTGCTCTCCATGGAAGAGTCTGCTGCAACCAACGTGCTTCGTGCAAAGGACAGTTTGTCGATGTTAATAGAGAGGCCTGTTTACACCATACATTACTTTTGGAGGAAATTTGATGATACCTACATGAGACCTCTATTCGGAGGGCCTCACAACAACCAACCCAGTCGCAACAACCAACCCAGTCATTCCAGATGTTAGAACACACGAGCAAAGTAGCACAACTCTGTTCGAACACACTAAAATGTTCCAATTCTTGTTGATTACTAATTTAGAACCTTGGAATGTTGGGCAGTGTAAAAGATGCGGTCATTTTGGTTGTCGAAATGGAGCGCAGTGAAAACTGCCATGGAAATGTTGGTTGGAAACTGACTGAATGTGCTCTTTCTAGACAGAACTTTGGGTCACATGTAAATAGCGCATATGTTTTTCTGAGAAATCAAGGAACATGTACTACCATTTGTCTTTTTATACACACATATATATACACATACAGAATCATCTTGTTTATATATGATCATTGAGCTGGAACTATTAGTCTGTCTTTCTTGATTCAGAACAGGGCCTCTTCTTAAGTTCTTTGATTGTTGGCATCATAAATGGACTTGTGGTCTGATTGGGACTCACTGCCTCTCTCTAATTCTTAGCCACAAGTTGAGAGGAGAATCTATCCTCGTCAGATGGGGACAGGAACTCATTATGTTGATTTATTGCAAGTGGGAGGTGGGAGCAGTGTATTTAAATTGCCCTTCTTGATTCATTGTTCCATTTGTCTTGTTTGTAGTACTGGACTTTCCTATCGCCAATGACCATCGGCTTTTCAGGTTGGATTTATCATTGAGGATAAATTTATTGATTATTTATGTGACACGGATAAGTCAGTGGAGCAGGATAAAGTAATTGCTGGTTCAATCTTTATTTTTGAAATTTTTATATATATGAATTATTTGTTAAAATGTTAGCATGGATAATTATTTATTTGGCTAGTTTTTTATTAAAAACATACTAATTCTCCTAGTCCATTAAAGAAAACTGGGTATAGATATTTTAGGTTGAATATGCCTAAGTTAATTTATTTATGTTGCTTGTCAAAGCGAATATAACTCTTCGGTAATTGACATATATTTTTAAGATGATGTGATTTGAATTCTCCACTCCCACATGTTATACTGAAAAAAGTCAAAGCGAACATAGTTCATCGATAATTAGCATAATTTATGTTGGCAAATACCCATAAATATAATCTTTAGATTCTACTCTTAATCTATTAGAAGTCTCAATAAAGTTGATACTATTATTAGATTGTTTATTTTGTCATATGGATATGCTACCATTTGAAAGAAATGGATTTGCAAATTTGATGGGAAATTTGGTAGTATTGAGTGACATAATATTCAAATATGTTAACACAATAATAATTTATCGATACAAATTAGACTTTTGCTCCTATAAAGCAAGACCAGGGAAGGAGAAAATATTCTCTCTCTAAACCAACAAATATGAAATAAACACACAAAAATGGAAGTCTAAAAACACATGGCCATATCAAAGATCACTCTAGTTTTTCCATTTCCAACTCCATGAGATGAGCTTTCATGCACCTGTCATGTAGAGAGAGAAAGATGAGAGAGACGGAGTGCAACACCGTGTTTAAGACTCATAAACGATGATGACGTTACTAGAGAAATTTGAAGAAGACGATACTCAGATAATATTTTTGTTTCTTGTTTAACCAAACAAATTTATAATATAATTATGTTTTGTAACTATCTTTTTAAGTAAAATTTCTTATTCAATCAAATTTTAAACATTAAGTTTCAAATAGGATTTAATCTTTTTTAATTCAATAATCAAAATAATCATGTTATGTTTTTCTTCTCATATTTTTTTTATTTGTTTTATAAATAAAAATGATGAAATATATATATAGGGTTTAGGGTTTAGGGTTTATATATATATATAAAAGTATTTCTCTCTAATGTTTGAGGTGTTTTATTATTGTTTAAAAATTTTCAATTTAGGTCTTAATATTTTAACCATTTTTAATTATATTGAAAATATTAAAATTGATTGATAATAAATTTACTAGTAACGTAAAAGCGTCTATAAGAACTATTTATTTTCTTCTTTTTAAGTAAACTACTTGATTCTTTTAAATTTTTATCAACCAATTTGACATAAAACAAGATAATCTTTTAAGCTGAAATCCTTTAAAACAATAAAACTAAATTTAAAAAAAAAAAAAAACCATCCACAAAAACTATAACA